AGCTCAGCCTGCTCTTCACTCCCGCCGTGGAATTGAGCCACCGGCAGTGGAAGGATATTTTCCCCTGCGGCCATCCGGCGACAGAAAGCCGACGGTTAAGATGAGTGTGTCGCCTCTCTGGGGGTTTCCCATGCAGAGGCTGCACGCACCAAGGCTTCATGTTCTCATTGCGAGAACATAAGTCTCGCCCATCTCCGCTCGTGGATCGCCTTCTTCCACGAAGGCGGTTCTCCCCACTCTGTTTTCCAAACTCCTTTCTCTCCCAAGAGAAAGAAGCATCGGAACAGCGGGGCCATCTTCCTGGGCTTGAGTGATGTTGCGTCGGCCCAGCGCCCGTGCGCTTTACTCTCCCCGCAGCGCCTCATATCGCTGGTGTGCTTTGCACGTGAGGATCAGCGCCTGGTTTCCTTCAGCGTGGTTGTCAACGACTCCATGTCCTTGACGACATCTGAAGCTGACGAGTGGGTGTGTTCCTTCTGATTCCCAGACAGGGAGTGTCCTTTCTGGGAACAGGTATAGACCCTGTACAAATGCGAGCTTGGTTAATGCTGGAATGCTTCCTGACTATCCAGCGAGCGGCAGCGTCTTTCAGGCCGGGGACTGCGCATCCCCACAGGGCATTTCAGAGGATGCTCTGCCTCATGGCAGCCGCCTCCTCAGTTATTCCCCTGGGCCTGCTACACATGCGGCCCCTTCAATACTGGCTAAAAGCCTGCGTTCCGTCCCACGCCAGGAGCCTGGGCCACGTTTATATCAGGGTAACCCATCGCTGCCTCAAAGCTGTGGCCCCTTGGACAACTTCTCGCCTGTTTCAGTCAGGCGTGCAGTTGGGAACGAATTCCAGAAGGAAGGTGGTCACGACAGACGCCTCCAGCTCAGGCTGGGGCGCTCTGTAAGAGGGCAACCCGGCGTACGGCTCCTGGTCGACCCATGAGCGACACCTGCATATCAACTGCCTCGAAATGATGGCTGTTTGTCTGGCCCTGAAGACCTTCCTGCCAGCCTTAAAGGTGACATATCATGAAAATCTGACTTTTCCAGGTTTTAAGTGCTATGGTGCATCTACCAACCAAGGAAACGTGAAAAAGATTAACCCAGTCACTTTGTTTTGGTAAGCCTTTTTCTGCAAGCGTCTGAGAAAACGAGTGTCTGATTTCGCTCCCTTGGTGACGTGGCAAAGGGATCTCATTATAATATCACCGCCCTTAATCTGTAAGTTTACATCCACGGCGCCGTTATTGTGTTTTCGCAAGCGACAACGGTTTACCAGCCACAGCGAAAGTTTGAGCAAAGCATGCTAACTGTTCTGTGTTTGGCTGCACAGACGAGCACAGAACACTGTTTAGAGTCCCAGCCTCAGAGGAGACGAGAGAGCAGTGTATTTATTGATTTATTTACTGTATATTGCTGCTGCCACACAGATCTAAAATAAACATGCGATTTATTTCCCAGCTGTTTACCTTCACAGACATAACCCACTGTTTTTGTAACTCGTGTGTTTTTAACGTAAACTTGTGTGTGAATGAGAACTTAAGTTTAGTACTCATGCTGTGACAGCCGCTTTCTGTCCGTGTGCTTCGGATGTGTGCACTCAGAAAACCGTATATCAGAAGTTTAAACTAATATGGTTTAAAACGCATGATTTCAGAGCGATAAACATGATAATCAGAACCAAAACAGATGTTTTTAGCAGAACACTGTTTAGAGTCCCAGCCTCAGAGGAGTCGGCAGGGCTGTGGATTTATTGATTTATTTACTGTTTATTGCTGCTGCCACACAGATCTAAAATAAACAAGCGATTTATTTCCCAGCTGTTTACCTTCACAGACATAACCGACTGTTTTTTGTAACTCATGTGTGTTTTTAACGTAAACTTGTTAAACGTGCTAATGTGAACTTAGTTTAGTACTCACATGCTGTGACAGCCGCTTTCTGTCCGTGTGCTTCGGATGTGTGCACTCAGAAAACTGTATATCAGAAGTTTAAACTCATATGGTTTAAAACGCATGATTCCAGCGCGATAAACATGATAATCAGAACCGAAACAGATGTTTTTAGCAGATACGAGCTGTAAAGGCGCAGCTCTATTCTGGTAAAGGGGGCGGGGAGCAGCAGCTCATTTGCATTTAAAGAGACAGGCCCGAAAAACAGCGTGTTTCTGCTTCCACTCAAAATAGGCATTTTCTAAATTATATAATAAATGATCTGTGGAGTATTTTGAGCTGAGACTTCACAGACACATTCTGGGGACACCAGAGACTTATATTACATATTGTAAAAAGGGGCATAATATGTCTCCTTTAAATGGACACCACATTTTTGGGCACAGAGAGAACTCCTCTCACTACGAGCGGTTCATGTGCAGGGCAGACTGAACCAGGGAGCAGATATGTTGTCAAGGGACAATGTAGCTCCGGGGGAATGGAGACTACATCCCCAGACGGTCCAGATGATCTGGTCAGTTTTCGGCAAGGCAGAGGTCGACCTCTTCGGCCCACGATTGGCCCAGCACCCATCTGTATGCCTTCCCTCCGATCACCCTGCTACCCCAGGTTATCAGGCGAGTCAGGGAAATTAAGTGCTCTCTCCTCCTCGTGGCCCCTCTCTGGAGGAACCAAGTCTGGTTCCCCAGAGTTGATCTAGCTGCTATCTGCAGCGCCGTGGTCAATACCACTGAGGAGAGACCTTCTCTCGCAAACGCAGGGCAAGATTTGGCATCCCCAGCCAGAACTGTGGAGCCTTCATGCCTGGCCACTCGACGGGAGTCTAGCCAACTCCCAGGGAGAGTCACTAATACCATTTTAGAGGCTAGAGCTCCATCTACAAGGTGCCTCTACGCCCTCAAGTGGTCAGTCTTCAGTGACTGGTGTTCAGCACAAAGCCAGGATCCAGTTTCATGTGACGTGACCCACGTGCTAACCTTTAACCTTAAATCCTCCTCGCCTGTGCCAGCAGGGGTCCCCCATTTGAGCCGCTTCAAACAGCCGGCTTAAGGGTCATGACGCTCGGTCAAGGGAGTAGGTGAATTGCAAGCCCTTTCTGTCAGTGCTTCCTGTCTTGAGTTTGGACCCAATGACTGTAAGGTCGTTCTTCAACCGCACAGCGGTTATGTACCGAAGGTGCTCTCAACTCCGTTTAAAGCACAGGTCATTTCCCTTTTAGCCCTCCCTGGCACGGATGGCGAACAAGGTCCAATCTTGTTGTGCTTTGGAGGCCGCTGTAAGGGCTGCCGGTCACAAAGCAGACTATCTCATTGGATAGTAGATGCTATAGCCCTAGCTTATGCCTCAGCTAGCTTGCAATGCCCTATAGGTGTGAGGGCCCATTCCACCAGAGGAATGGCCTCTTCCTGGGCCTGGTCCAGTGGAATCTCTATTGGGGAGATTTGTGAGGCTGCCGGCTGGTCGTCACTGTCTACCTTTATTAGATTTTACAATTTGGACGTCCCTGCCCTGCAGACGCGGGTCTCATCTGCTTAATGTTTACCCCCCCCCCCTCGGATGGGGAGAGTTATGTCAAGTAGAACGTTCTCGGGTCTCTTTGTAGCTCAGGCTTATGGAGCCCTCACTGAGTGTTTCTGGGCTGAGCTCGCAGAGCAGGCTTAGTTCTGCATCTGCTTATAGCATGGCGCTACTGAATGCGTTCCCCATACAGTCGTCAATGACGATGCAATATGAGTTACCTTTCGATAGGAAATGCTCTAGTTACTCACGTAACCTTGGTTCCCTGAGAAAAGGGAACGAGCATTGCGTAACTGGCCGTGCTATAGCTGCACGCCAATCGATGGTTGTCGCTTCAGTCGTTAATTCTGATTAAATGATTCTCCGGGCCGACTTATAAAGCAGTCGGCTCCGCCCCCCACTGGCGGGCTTGAGCACCATTGGTTTGTGCAGCTACACAAACGTTAACAAATTAGGCTTCAGTAACAGAGTAAACAGGAGTTTCCCCATACAATCGTCAATAACGACGCAACGCTTGTTCCCTTATCTTCGGGAACAGAGGTTACGTGAGTAACCGGAGCGTTTCCTTACCAGTTTTCACAACTGTAATCTTATAATAATGATTAATTGGAGCTGCCGGGTCGGAATTCACGAGAAATGTGTGCCATGTCCGTGAACTATAACTAAATAAATGAATAAATAAACAGAAAGAAAGAGAGTCAAAAGAAATTTACGTTTTTCAAAACTCAAATAATACTTCTTCTTAGCAAAACGATTCACTGTTTCGAAGCGCTCGAAACACTACAGTTCAGAGACGCCTGGTCAAAACAGCTTAATTGAAATGAAAACTCAGGCCAAATATGTGTAATATACACCATTTTCAAACCAGTAGCAAATGTTTTAATGACAGTGTAATCTATTAAAAATAATAATGCAAATTTTTAAATACCATTAAATATGAGGGTTCTGTAAAATGTGTGTTCTTTTTGTTAAAGTGTAGTGCTTGTTTAGATAAATTAGAAACCATACCAATATACTTTTTAGTTATACACGCATAAGTATTACAATGAATTAAATTAACACAAAATGGATCTAAATCAACCTTGTTCAGACAAGAGCTTAAAAGCACACAGTGAAAATAACAGAGCCAGTAATATAGACTGTATTAACATCATAACTGGTTTTCAGAGACGACGACAACCAAAACAACGCTTCTCTGTGAGTAACTTTATATACTGTATTTACAAAGAATTATTATTGTTCATCAATGAGATATGAATGTACAAATATTAGTAACGATAATACAGCACATCAGAGTGAAACTGAAAGTGTGTGTTGGTATGTGCAGGTTTAGCTAAATGGACAATGTAGGAAACCAGAAAATCCTTACTGTCCTGTAACCCAAATGATAGATGATTGAGAAAAATGTCCCATTTAACCTTGAATTAACCATATTTAATATTATTTTACATAATGTGTAGTGTTTTTGGTAGAAAAACAATAGATGTCAATGGAAATTCCCCATTTTATATCACGTGTGTGTGTGTTTGAGTAGGAAGCTGCTGCGCTGAAGTGAAGCAGTTTCTCTTTCTCTTCTTTTGTGATCAGAGAGATATGAGTGTTTAAAATGAATAAACCGAAAGAGCTGATATGAGCCAGAGGAGAGACAAAGAATATATAAAGAACTGATGACCAGCGCTGAGACTGAAGTAAGACATTAATCTGTCTGCAGACACTCACAGGAGACGTACTGTGCTGTGCTGTTATATGATCTGTGTGTGTGTGTGTGTTGGCAGAGTGAGATGGAGGTGCGGATCCCAGTGGAGCCGGAGCTCAACGAGTCTGAGTCTGAGGAGGAGGTGACGGCTCTTTCTGAGTCTGAGTTCAGCTGTCACTGCTGCTACCAGGTTCTGGTGGACCCCACCACTCTCACCTGTGGACACAGCTTCTGCAGACACTGTCTGGCCAACTGGTGGGCCTCCGCTCTGCCCCGCGTCCGCACAGACTGCCCAGAATGCCGAGCGGTCTGGACCGGATTTCCCAAAGTCAACATCCTGCTCCGGTGAGAGACGAGACATATAGATATCATTACAGTTACTTAGTGATGTCCGGTTCGCAAACGAATCATTTGATTTAACCGGTTCTTCTTAGTGAACCGGTCGAACCAGTTCACCAAATCAGACTGAATCGTTTGTAACGGTTCGCATCTCCATTAATCACTAATCCACAAATTACTTAAGTTATTCACTTTTTAACATGCCTGACACTCCCTCTGATGCGAAATAAACCAATATCCTGGAGTTATTCAGAACTCAAAACTTCGTCGGTAATCTAAAAACTTATATTGAAGGCAGTCTGCCAAAGCGACAGCTTGTGGAATGTTCTAATGTAATAGTGTGGATAAGCACCGCCTCCACAGAAGAAGATCAACGCCTGCTTCTACATCACTGCCTGTTTAGCTTCGCCCACCGATTCTACATCATTGTTTGTTGATTTTGATTGCTTCTATCGTCCTCATTTGTAAGTCACTTTGGATAAAAGCGTCTGCTAAATGACTAAATGTAAACGTAAATGTCTGTTTAGCCCCGCCTACCGATTCTACATCACTGCCTGTTTAGCTCCGCCCTCCGATTCTACATCACTGCCTGTTTAGTCCCGCCCACCGATTCGCACATGACTGCATCAGTAAGAACTTGTTCCTTTGTTCACTTCATTTTACCCCAGATTCATTTACAAACAAGGCACAATTCGACAGGGGATTTTCAGAAAGATTGAAACTAAATGACGATGCTGTGTGACTATATTGGATCCGACAGTAATGTCTCAACACACAAGCGAGAGTAACTGTTTTATTACGGGATCACTATTGCTTTGTCTGTTAAACAGATTGTTTGATGCATATCGAGTGTTTATGTGTTTTTGACCTAAATCACAGCAGCGTCCATCTATGAAGAATGTACACTGTCAAACATACACAAGTATTAGCCAATCACAGCAGTGGGCGTTTACTTCCGAGTCTGCAGTCCGCCACGCCTATTCAAACAGAGCGTTCTGATGAGGGGGTTAAAAACAAGACAGAAAATAGCCTATTACTTCTAAATTATTATGTTTTTTATGTAAAAATCTTGATAACATTATAAGTGGACCTCAGAGAACAGTACAAAATAAAAAAAACAAAGGCAGTTCATGACCCCTTTAATTTAGATACCTGCATGTCCAAACATTTACTAACAGAGTTAAGTTTGGTCCTGGTCACTGTATGATGTTCATGTTCTCAGTAAGACGCACAATGAAGCAGCCTCTGTGTGTGTGTGTGTGTGTGTGTGTGTCAGGGATGCGGTGGAGAAGCTGTTTCCCGCAGTCGTGAGCCGACGGAAGCAGGCCATCCTGAGTGATCCGGGGTTCTGTCATCTCCAGGCCTTCCAGCAGCAGGGGAAGAGACAGCCCCCTCGCGCAGCTCCGCCACAGAACCCACCGCCGATCAACATCAGAGAGTTTTACTCTGGAGTATTGACGACGCTGACCTTCATGACTGTGAGTGACACACACACACACACACACACACACACTCTTATACACACACTAAGGATGAGCTGCTGCACTGCATCATCACTGTGTGTGTGTGTGTGTGTGTAGATGGTGGTGTTAATGTGGCGTGTGTACAGTACCAGCACCAGTCATGAGGTGCTGCTCAGTAAACCGCTCAGCAGGTGGAGCGCTGATGATGTCACTCTGTGGGTGGAGCATCTGAGCGTCTGGACCAATCAGTATAAAGAAACCTTCCGCAGGGAACAGATCAACGGCAGGTAACACTCACACACACAGAGCATTTCCACAGCACTGCACATTCCTCAGTGATCATCAGTGACCTGTGACACGTGTGTGTGTGTGTGTGTGTGTCAGGTTACTGTCTGCTCTCAGCGATGACGATCTGTCTGCGGCTCCGTTCAGCATCGAGAATCAGTCTCACAGACAGATCATCCTGGAGGAACTGCACAAACTCAAAGAAACCTCAGTCTCACTGAACCTCTGGCAGTACAAGGTGAGTGTGTGTGTGTGTGTGTTTCAGCACACAGCACTATTAAATCACGTTTCTCCCAGAGCTGTCAGGTGTCTCTGTATGTTCTGTGTGTGTGTTGACCAGTGACTCTCGCTGTTAATAGGCCTGTCGCAATAATCAATATATCGAATTATCGCGCAATATATGTACATGACCTCAATAATTTTTAGTGACGCCATATATCGGCCATGTAACGAATTCAGTCCACTGAAGGCGAGAGTAGTGAGAACCCAAGTGCAGTTTATTTACAGTCATCCAAACAGACGAAGACTAGAGACACAGACTTGACGAGGCAAAAATCTTGATAACATTATAAGTGGACCTCAGAGAACAGTACAAAATAAAAAAAACAAAGGCAGTTCATGACCCCTTTAATTTAGATACCTGCATGTCCAAACATTTACTAACAGAGTTAAGTTTGGTCCTGGTCACTGTATGATGTTCATGTTCTCAGTAAGACGCACAATGAAGCAGCCTCTGTGTGTGTGTGTGTGTGTGTGTGTGTCAGGGATGCGGTGGAGAAGCTGTTTCCCGCAGTCGTGAGCCGACGGAAGCAGGCCATCCTGAGTGATCCGGGGTTCTGTCATCTCCAGGCCTTCCAGCAGCAGGGGAAGAGACAGCCCCCTCGCGCAGCTCCGCCACAGAACCCACCGCCGATCAACATCAGAGAGTTTTACTCTGGAGTATTGACGACGCTGACCTTCATGACTGTGAGTGACACACACACACACACACACACACACACTCTTATACACACACTAAGGATGAGCTGCTGCACTGCATCATCACTGTGTGTGTGTGTGTGTGTGTAGATGGTGGTGTTAATGTGGCGTGTGTACAGTACCAGCACCAGTCATGAGGTGCTGCTCAGTAAACCGCTCAGCAGGTGGAGCGCTGATGATGTCACTCTGTGGGTGGAGCATCTGAGCGTCTGGACCAATCAGTATAAAGAAACCTTCCGCAGGGAACAGATCAACGGCAGGTAACACTCACACACACAGAGCATTTCCACAGCACTGCACATTCCTCAGTGATCATCAGTGACCTGTGACACGTGTGTGTGTGTGTGTGTGTGTCAGGTTACTGTCTGCTCTCAGCGATGACGATCTGTCTGCGGCTCCGTTCAGCATCGAGAATCAGTCTCACAGACAGATCATCCTGGAGGAACTGCACAAACTCAAAGAAACCTCAGTCTCACTGAACCTCTGGCAGTACAAGGTGAGTGTGTGTGTGTGTGTGTTTCAGCACACAGCACTATTAAATCACGTTTCTCCCAGAGCTGTCAGGTGTCTCTGTATGTTCTGTGTGTGTGTTGACCAGTGACTCTCGCTGTTAATAGGCCTGTCGCAATAATCAATATATCGAATTATCGCGCAATATATGTACATGACCTCAATAATTTTTAGTGACGCCATATATCGGCCATGTAACGAATTCAGTCCACTGAAGGCGAGAGTAGTGAGAACCCAAGTGCAGTTTATTTACAGTCATCCAAACAGACGAAGACTAGAGACACAGACTTGACGAGGCACAAACAGACTAGACTCACCGACAGCGGGTTACAACTTCAATATACGACGACCGACAATGGCAACATGATGGCTACTTATAGCAGACAAGAGGGTCACATGACAAGAACAAACCAATGGGAAACAAGACACATGACTAAAACAACCAATCAGAACATGACACATACACAAGGCAGAGAGACATGAGGCAAGGGAAGCATGACACTAACATCAGGAAACAATTACAAAATAAAAGACATGGACATGAACATGAAACAAAAACAAAACCCAAACCCCACATTACAGGCCATTATATTTATTTAATAATTAATGTCACCATGTTTTGTACATTCCACTTGCGCCTGTGTCTTTTGCAGCTTCTCGTACATAACGAGGTGTAGTCATGAGGTGCTAGTTCAAATTTAGTAGTTCAAAGTTCTTTGTGCATTTTTCTTTTTTTCTACTTTGCACTTTTTTGTTAGAAAATGTTTATTTACTATTTATTCAGGTTTTTTAAGGTATCTAAAATTTTGATACTTAATTTCCATGATCTACATATTCTTAAAAATTAAAAGTTTGTTGTCATTTGGAAGTGTGTAGGCCTTCTTGCATTATTATGCTTTTATATTATGATTATATATTCAGTGGCATAAAATGGTCTTTAAAATTACAATAATATCGCTTATCGCAATTATTTCTTGGGCAATATTTCGCACAACAAATTGTTATCGTGACAGGCCTAGCTGTTAATCATCATGTGTGTCTGCAGGATCTGTATTTAGGGAAGACTCTGTTCCTGTTGATCAGTCTGAGGAACTTGCCTCGTCTGACGCTGCTCTACCTGTTCCTGTTCGATTATGAAGACACCTTTCTGCCCTTCATTCACACCAGCTGCCCGGCGACACCAGACGCTCCCACTGACACACCGCTGGTAAAAACATATCTGCATATATATATATATATGCATGTTTAGCAACAAACAAAAATATAATTGTTTCTATAGATATAATCAACCACATTAAAGGAAAAGTTTCATATTTCTACATCATTTTAAATTTGATTGTCATTCACAAAGCTGCATGGGATTGTAGTTCTTTCCCTCATTAAAGCTGTGACGTTCAAAGTCTTGTATCTTTGTCTTTTCACCTGATTTTCTAACACTTTTTTTGCTGCCAATCAGAGTTTGTAATGTTGTGAATCTCCTCGTATCGGGTATATATAACACTATAACAGAGCTTTTTAATAAATCACTTTGGGATAATTACTAACAGAACCGACGCCGCTGTAAAAGTGGGTGGGCACTAATGCACCCTGTGCTGCATCAGGATTGGCCGGGCTGGAGTCAGTGGGCGGAGTTTCTGCTGATGTACTTCCTGCTGCCCTATCAGCTGCTGTCTGCCTTCGCCTGGCACTGGATGAGCGTTCATTACTGGACGGCAGGTTTCATCATCGCTCACGCCGCGTTACTGACAGTGCTGGACGTGTGTTTCTACTGGACGCTGTGGAAGAGAGGACAGATGAGGTACACACACACACACACGATTCATGCTCCATGTGAGGTTTTTAACACATTCATTGAGTCTGAGATTGAACCCGTGTGATTTCTGTGTGTGTGGTGATTGCAGGACTCTCCCTAAGTTAGTTTGGCTTCAGATGTTTGCAGTGTTGTTCAACACGTCTCTGTTTGTGCTGCCGTGGCCCCTGATGCCTCTGTTCATCATTAACACTGAGATCTACATCCAGCTGTATTTGAGCCCCTTCCTCACTGCAGTGCTGGTGAAACGAACACTCCTGCCTGCAAACACACAGCACAGGCCCTGACACACACTTTATACATCTGACACACACTTTCATCATGTTTGTTAGGTGACTCGCATTGCATTCATGCTACACATTTGATCAGTTCATGTATTCTCTGGGAATCGAACCCATGACCTTGGCGTTGCGAGCGCTGTGATCCACTGTTTGAGCCACAGCTGTGATCCACTGTTTGAGCCACAAACACAGCTTGGTCATGCTGGGACTTTACATTCACAATCACCTCTCTGCTGTTATATTATAATCAGTTTCATAGTATCGTCAGATGTTTCAGTTTCATGCTTTTAAGTGTGAAAATAAGTATTTTTATAAATTGATTTCATGACTGTAATAAACAGAGGATATATATTTAAAGTATATATTTAATAAAAAACGGTGGTTGTGTGACTCATTTTCATATTAGATAAAACTCAATTTAGAATAGAAATATCATGTATATGAAAACAAATGTACACTGCAATAAGAAACACCACGGCTACAGCTCTTACAAAATGTTACATATACATTTTAAAGCTTATTTACTTGAATTAAAAGCTTAATAGGAATTATCAAAATATAGTTGTTTCCATATAATGCATTACATTTTTTTAGAATTTTTTTTAAGAAGTAATTAAAACTCCCTGAATGGCAGCAGGTAAATGTAAAACATTAAAATAAAGCACAGGAAACTGAATTAAAGTGTGAGAACCTCCTAATGGACAGCTGTGCAAATAATATTATTTTAAAGGGGTCATATGGTGCGATTTCAAGTTTTGCTTTCTCTTTGGAGTGTTACAAGCTGATTGTGCATAGATAAGATCCCTGAAGTTGCAAAGACTAAAGTCTCAAAACCAAAGAGATATTCTTTATCAAAGTTAAGACTCTGCCACACCCCCCTAAAACGGCTCGTTCTAACACGCCCCCACATATCTACCCCACTATGTGGAAATATTTGCATAATGCGCCCAAATGTGCAAAGAAAGAAGGCGTGGTTTCAGGAACAGCAGTTAGTGTTGAAGCAGCCATGTCAAGGAGACGCTGTGTGTTTCTAGGCGAAAGCAAAAGCACTTTATGTGGCCTTCCGAAAGTAGATGCATTTAGGAATCTTTAAGATTACTTACAACAGAACAGCAATGCATTTTATGGACGACCGTTTCGTGAACCTAGGAGAGGAGGTAATTCTGACTATGCTATGACAATCTGGCGCTTCTGAATCAGCTACTGTTTAGTTATTAGTTTAAGTATTTGCTATTGACCGTTCAAATGC